CGGAGCGGCCCCGCGCACAGCCCGGCCGGGCCATGACCCCCGCTGCGCTCTTTCACAGGCTCATCGCCGCGGCCGCCCGGGTGGGTCCCCGGATCCCGGGGCGCGGCTCCACAGTGAGCCGTCCAGGAAGCGGTGAGTGCCCCGCGCCGAGCGTCCCATGCCGGTAGGCGCTGCCCCACCCCGCCCTGATAGTAGCGCTCCGCTCGTCCGGAGAGCCGCATCCTCGCCGGGCGTGTAGACCCGGGCTGGCGGCGTACACGCCCTGTGAGCTCCGCGGCGGGAGGGACGCGCCCTGGGGAGGCAGGGTCCCTGGGGGGCTGTGGGGGCCACCCAACTTCTCGCAGACTCTACTGCGGAGACGCGGGTTTTGGGAAAGTTGAGTTCCCTCTGGCCATGTTGCAGCTTGCACCGGACGGTGGGGGTGTGGCCCGCGCGTGGACGCCTGTGTCCCCACTACTCCCCAGAGGACACCAAGCTGTGGACCTCTCAGCGCGCGTTCCTTCGGAATGAACCACACCACCATTCCTGAGGGCTGGAAGTGAGCCCGGGTGAGTGGGGGCAGGAGGCCTCGGGAGAAACCATTTCCCCTCTATCAAGTATTTCAGAATATATTATTTATGAACTGCCTCACTTAGGGGCCCCTTGGCTCCCAGGGCATCAGACCGCTTTGCAAACCGGCAAGGGGGCCAGTGTGAAGGCACGAGTGCCAGGCGCAGGCGGGACTGAGGAGGTGCGGCGCACGTTAAACCTCCCCCCACCCCACCCCTCCGCAGCTCCGCAGGTGCCCAGGCCTATGGGGTGGGTGGGCTCTCAAGGCGGTTGGAACGTCTGTCCTCTGGCTGTTAGGCCGTGCTGGAATCTAGAGAGAAGTCTGCGACTCAGCAGCCTTTGAATCGTTGAGGGGGACGAGGGCCTGAAGACACTTCTGAGATAGCACAAGGAAATCCCATTTTACAGATGAGGAAATTGAGGCTCAGAAAGGTGCGCAGGGATTCGCAGGATCTGGCGCTTCCTGCCCTGTGGCAGGGGTGCTTCACAGAGGTCTCTTTCCTGGGCTGGGTTACCTCGAGAAAGCACCTTCTTACCTGTCACCCCCTTACCTGTCCAGGCCACACCCACCTTGGATTCTGTGTCCCCACCCCTGGGCCCTCTGGACAGGAAGGAGGCGGTGTATTTATGGAAAGACTTAATCCCTCCGCCAGCCCCAAGGAGGCTGAGAGCTCTGGCGCCTAATCTCTCTCTGGAAGCTCTTCCAAGAGGTGGTGGGGCCCAGAGAGAGTACTTCCCGGAGCTGGGGGTAGGGTGGGGGGTGGGGGAGACTTGAAGTGGGAACTTCCCTTGAGTGGACACTGAAAAGAGTGCGGTGATATTTAATGTTTACATGCCTTTCTGTTTGAGTCCTCACACCAACTCTGACCAAACAGTTATTATCCCCATTTTCAAGATGAGCAAACACAGGCCTGTAAACGTAAAGGGACTTACCCAAGGCCATGTGGCTGGTGAGTGGCAAAGCCAGGGCTTGACCCCCGAGCCCTTGCAGTGCATTACTGTTGCCTAAGCCTAAGCTGTTGGCAGTGGTGGTTCAGTGGTAGAATTCTCGCCTTCCATGCAGGAGACCCAGGTTCGATTCTGGCCGGTGCACCTTATGCACAGACACCACCGTCAGTGGAGGCTATGATGCTGAACCGGTTTCAGCACAGCTTCTAGACTAAGATGGACTAGGAAGAAAAGGCTGGCAATCGGCTTCCGAAAATCAGCCAGTAAAAACCCTATGGATCACAATGATCCTATCCACAACCGTTCATGGGGATGGTGCAGGACCAGGCAGCATTTTATTCTGTTGTACATGGATTTGCCATGAGTTAGGGGTCTCCACGAGTTGGAGGCCAACTCGACGGCAGCTAACAATAACAAGGTGGTATAAGCTAGACCAACCTTTTAGGACTCCCAAATACAAATCTCTCCCCCAATAAAAAATTATTAAGGTGTAACATGTACATGCACACATCAAACATGGACACTCACATTAAGAAGCAGAATGTTTCCAGCCCCCAGGAACACCCCCCAGCATAAACATTTTTATTTTTTATTTATTTATTTTTAGTACACATATTGTTTTATGACATTGGCCAACAACCCCACAACATGTCAACCCTCTCCCTTCTCGACCTTCTTCCTCTTTTTTTGTGAAAACATACATAGCCAAAGATACACCGCTTCAAAAATTTCCACATGCACAGTTCAGTGACATCAACCACGCTCTTCCAATTGTGCTGCCCTCTCACTCTAGATGAAGGCTTACCGAACAAAATACTTTCTCGTTTAACAGTGAGTACACATGTTGCCCTATGACAATGGTTAACAACCTCATAACGCATCAACACTATCCTTACTCAACCTTGGGTTCCCTATCACCAGCTTTCCTGTCCCCTTCTGCCTTCTGGCCCTTGTCCCTGGACTGCTGTGCCTGATTAGTCCCATTTGGTTTTATGGGGCTGTCCACTCCCCGGCTGAATGGTGAACCTCGGAAATGACTTCACCACTGAGCTAAAAGGGTGTCTGGGTGCCATACTCTGGGGGTTTCTCCAGTCTCCTTTAGGCCAGTAAATCTGGTCTTTTTTTTGGGAGTTAGAATTTTGTTCTACATCCTTCTCCAGCTCTGTCCAGAACCCTCTGTTGTGATTCTGGTCAGAGTAAACGTTTTTATTGATGTATAACATTCAGAAAGGTGCATAAATCATAAGCATCGAGCTGGATGAATTGTCACACAGTGGTCCCAAGGGGGGCAGTGGGCAGGTGCTTTGCTCAGAGTCACATGGCCAGTGGGTGAGCAGACCGTGGCCAGGCCCCAGGTGTCCAAGACCCTGCCCAGCAACAGAGATCAGGAGGGGGTTTCGGTGGGTGCCCACCCCACCCTCATCCTCTTTCACTTCCTGTCAGGTTGTGGTGTGACTGTCCCGGCAGCTCCCCACCTCCCTGAGAGCTGCTCGCCTGGCTCGCAGTCTTGCAGCTCTGTGGGCGCCACTCCCAATTGCACTCTGTGTACTCATGTTAACACTTGGAGCATCCATGCACAGCACAGTTCCTTTGGCTAGAATTGCAGGGATCCTAATCCTGCTGCAGAAAGAACGTGCTTTTTCTAAAGAAGGAAGAACACCAAGACGTGCTGTGTGCTTGCTGGAAGCCCCGCGTGGCCACCCGGCCAGTACTTTCCTCCCTGTGTCTGCAGAGAGCTGAAGGAGCTTCCCTGACCTCACACAGCTGGGGTGGAACCTGGTTCCGCCTGCTGAGTCCCCCCACCTAGACTAACTGTCACATTCTTCAGCTATGACTCTGCCCTTCCTCCATCCTTAAAGGATGTCTTTGTGAAGGAGGTGAGGCTTGTAGTGAATCATGAGCTCAGTGGCTTACGGTGACTTCATCTGGGAGGTGGTTCTACAGACATCAAGACCGGACTCCACCACTCCCTCACTTTCCCTCACTGGGCCTCATCATCTGGGGAAGCCCGGGTGTTAGAGATCAGACTACCTCTGCCTACAGTTGCCAGATGTGGCAAAGAAAAATAGAGGATGCCAATTAAATTTGAATTACAGGTAAACAATGAATAATTTTTTTAGTGTGTCCCATGCAACAGCTGGGTAACCTGTATTTTATCTGGCAACGCTAACTCTATGGGCACTTCCAGCTCTAGACTAAAATGATTCACTCCAGGAGGGCTTACTTCGCGCTCCCAGACCCCCATGATCCACAGAAGTAGTAACTTTTCACCAGACATTGGAGTCAGAATCCTAAAAGCAAGGTCTGTGTCTCCAACAGGCAGTGCTAAGTCGTGGTTGCTTCTCTGTGTAAAGAGTTTTATTTTACAAAATTTTTAAGTTTATATTGTAAAATATATATAACATAACGTTTGCCAGTTCAACGGTTTTCATGTTGTGCAACCATCACCACGGGTTTTTGCCAGATTTTTCATCACCATAAACAGAAACTCAGTGCTTCCTAAATAATGACTCCACTTTTTCCCCCTCCCTCCCACCCCTGGTAACCACAAGTAACCTTTGGTCTCTATACATTTGCCTATTCTAGCTATTTCATATAAGCTCGATCATGCAATATTTGTCCTCTTGTGATTGACTTACTTCACTCAGCATAATGTGTTAAAGGTTCATCCATGTCATAGCATGTATCCGGACTTCATTACTCTATAGCTGAGTGATATTACATTGTATGTATGTACCACATTTTGTTTATCCATTCATCTGTAAGAGTGTTATTATTTTTCTTTTCTCTCTGCCTGGAAAACCTGTGGAGGGTGAGCTGGTTAGCAGTCACTGCTGCAGGCTAGTAGTTGGTGGCTCCTATTTTCAAGGCTGTTTTTATATAATTGTCCCTGTCACCCAAGATAGAATCTGAGGCCATTTGGCCTTAGAGAGATTTTTCTGCCTGGGCGCAAGAAAGAACCTGTTCTAATTCAAGCTGTTGTGCAAATAATTAACAATCTGATATTTGGAAGGGGACATAAACAGAGCCTGATTAAATATGAAGGGAGGTTTTTACGCTCCTCAGAATGTGTGAAAGGGAGAGAACATTTATACCTAAACCAGCAGTTCTCAGGGGCCTCACAGCTCTGTACGCCAAGCTAATGTTGCCCCTTCCCATTAAATCTTCATTTTTTAATGACAAAAGTATGTAGTATTTTTGTTTATGGTGGTGTGTAGGACAATATAGTTTGAGGCATAATGTGGTGCTGTAGACCCTCGGGAAGCCACTTTACTGGGAATGGTGGTTATGTGTACCTCAAAGGATATTGCTAGGGTTCCATGGAATCATTTTTATGATACACTCAACCCACGACTTCACATATTAGAAGCATTAGGTTCATATCTATTAGCCGTTGACATCACAATGATGGGTAAAAGTAGCACCATGCCCCACAGTTAGGAGTCTGATAGGGTTTTCATTCAGAGGGATGCAGAAGCAAGCTTTAACTCCCACTTTCCAAAGCATTCCAAGCCAACCCAAGGAGTGTACTCTCCCTTGAAAGCATCTGCCATCTCTGCAGGAGGTGCCCTCCAGCCTGGCAGCCCCCCATCACAGAGGGAGTGGACGAACTCTGTCCACACTCTGAGTAAATCCATCCCTGGAAGACATCCTCCCCATAGAAGAGTTGCAGTGTGGACTCGGGGCCACGCAGGGGGCACCCCAAGTGGTCTTCTACACATGCTCAATAGTAACACTACAGTATTAATATTATGATGATGATGATTGTATTAGTGCCCTGGAGCTGCCAAAACAAAGTACAACAAACTGTCATTGTTGTTAGGTGCCTTCTAGTCGGTTCCAGCTCATAGCGACTATATACAACAGAACAAAACACTGCCTGGTCCTGTGCCATCCTCACAGTTGTTGCTACGTTTGAGCTTATTGTTGCAACCACTGTGTCAGTCCATCTCGTTGAGGGTCGTCTTCTTTTCCGATGACCCTCTACTTTACCAAGCATGATGTCCTTCTCCAGAACTGGTCCCTCCTGACCACAAACTGTGTGGCTTTAAACAACAAAAATTTATTCTCTCACAGTTCTGGAGGCCAGAAATCCAAATCCAGGGTGTCGGCAGGGCTATGCCCTCTCTGGAGGCTATAAAGGAGGATCCTTTCTTGTCTCTCCAGTCTTCTGATGGCCTCAGTCGATCCTTGGCTTGAGGCTGCAGCTTAACTCTATTGTCTTCCCTCTATCTCTCTTTTATAAGGACACCACTCAGCTTGGATAAGGACTCACCTACTCTGGTATGACCTCATGTTAATTTAACTGATAACATCTTCCAAGACCCTATTTCCAAACACAGTCACGTTCAGGAGTACAGAGGTTAGGACTTCAACATATCTTTTAGGGGGACACCATAACGATGCTGATGATGCTGATGACGCCTACTATGTCTAAGGCCCTGTCCAGGCTGGCTGTGTATGCCTGTTTTACAGATGAGGTCACTGTGCCTGGATCGGACATGTCTAATGTCACAAAGCCCCTCTTTCCCCTGGGCCAGGCCGGAGCTTGCCCTGGAGACTGCTGTCTTCCTCTTGTCCTTGTGGGGAGGTGGACTCACCATGAGAGTCACAGCAATGTGTGCCATGATAAGAAAACTCAGCTTTTTGTGCTGTCACATGACAATATGTGTATAAATTTTTGTATGAGAAATTAACTTGAGCTGTAAACTTTCACCTAAAGCACAATAGAAATTCTCCATTTGGGAATTTTAGAAACCTGAAGTTAGTTTTCGGGATGTAGCCATGACCCCTTGGTGCTACATTTACCTGACCCTGGAGCAGCTTCTTGTCCCATAGGTCACCTGAATCCAGGCCGGGGACACTCTTGGTTCCAACCTAGCCCATGCAGGGGGAGCTAAAAATAGGCCCGGAGATGTGGTTAAGCCTGGCTTTTTTTGGCCCCCAGTGTTTTGAGATGGGTGTTTAGGCATTTTTAAAGTTGCAAGACAGGTTTTGGGGCAAAACTTACAATTCAGGATAACTCTTCAGGGATGCAGTACTACCTGGAGCAGCATGTTAAGAACCTTACCTCTGCCAGAGTGGAGGTGAGTGCATCTCCCACCATTTCATGGAAGGTTCTAGGAGAATGCCAAGGAGTTCCAGGTCTGCCTGTTGGTGGAAAGTGTAAACTCTGGCGTCAAAGTGCTAGGTTCAAATCTCAGCTCCACTACTTGCCACCTGTATGACCTATGCAAACTAAGAGATGTTAAAGCTGTGTTTCTCAGGATCTTTTTTTTTGGCCCAGAATGTTTTGAGATGGATATTTTTTAACCTGCAAGGCAGCTTTTACGGGCAAAACCTATGCATTCAGGATAATTCTTCTGGGAAGTAGCACTGCACAAGTGTTTCACAAACTGAGTTATTAACTGATAACTAATCTCTCTGTACCTCAATTTCCCGATCTGTGAAACGGGGATGGGAATGGCCCAACCTCATGGGGTTGTTGTGAAGATGAACTGACCATGGATACATGGCATGTGAGGGTTTGGACAGGCCCAGTGCTTACAGAGCTCCAGAGGCAGAACTGTGATTCCTACAGACTCTTCTTGCCAGCCCTGGCCCCTGCTCTCTCCTTGAGGAAGGATACACTCCTGGGTTTCTCATCCTGCACATTAGAATTGCTGGGGAGCTGACTCTAAAAATCCCAGTGCCCAGGCCACATCTAGACCAAATACCCTGGAATCTCCGGGAGTGAGACCTAGGCATCAGTATTTTTAAAAACTGATGAAAAACTTTTGGAAATGAATAGTGGTAATGGCTGCACGACATGGTGAAGATAATGAATGTCACTGAATTGTATTTGTAAAAAATGGTTGAAATGGCAACTCTTTTGTTATATATACTTACCAGAAGGAGCACTGGTGGCGCAGTGGTTAAAGCACTTGGCTGTGAACCGAAAGGTTCAAACCCACCAGCTGCTCCGAGGGAGAAAGATGTGGCAGTCTGCTTCCGTAAAGATTTACAGCCTTGGAAACCCAATGGGGCAGTTCTACTCTGTCCTACAAGGTCGCTGTGAGTTGGAATGGACTCATCGGCAGTGGGTTTGGTTTTTTTTGTTCGTATAGTTATACAATTAAAAAAAAATAAGCTCCCCAGATGATTCCAAGTGCAGCTAGGGGCCAGTACTCAGTGAATCAGCCAGGGGTCTTGTTAAAATGCAGGTTCTGGTCCATGGGCCTGAGAGGCAGCATTGCTAATAAGCTCCCGGGGGTGCCAGTGGTGCTGCTGGTCTAGGACCAGAAAGGGTGAGCAAGAGCCTCCCTTAGGAGCCCTAGGATGGGCTGTGTTATCCAAGGAAGATTTCGCAGGGCCACTGGGGAGTCCTCAGCGTGGGTCACCAGTTTGGAGCATCCGGCATCTCCTAGCAGCAGGCCTGCCTTAGGTCCCTGCCTTGCTCAGTCACCAGCTGGGGCAGCTGGAGGGAAATGCAGTCACCTTGCAAGCCAAGGAGCAATCGATCTCCGAGCCGAGTGGGGCTTGTAGTCATCGCACACTTGTTTTTACACATCTGAGTCCAAGATCAGAGAGGTGCGTCTTCATGACTGCCCCTCCACCCCTCTCTCCCTACCCAGCCTGGCCTGGGCCTAGCTCACAGGTGGCTCTCCAGTTCTCTGTGTTTCAAGGAATGACCTCAGTGGCTCCCCTGTCAGCTCAAAAATGCTAGGACCCTCCAAAGTGTAAACAAGACCCCTCTGGGGTGGGGTTCCAGCATGGGGACAGGGCAGTCCTGGGTCCAAATCCCAACTCCGCTTCTGGTTAGCTGCGTGACCTTGGGCGGGTAATGTCACCTCTCTGAGCCTTGATTTCCACATCTGCAACATGGGGACAGTAATAGCACCTCCTAGGATTAAATGTCAAGGGCATGCGTGGTACTCGAGCACTGTCAGCCGTTGCTGTTATTTTACTTTGTTTATTCAGCATACAAGGGGTACATTGTGTAGCAGGATCATTGTTGGGGACCCTGACTGGGACAACTTTAAGGCCCATGGGTTGAGGACCAGGCATCCTTTATAGCTCAGTCCCCAAGTGTCTGAGGGATCTGCATCTTACAAGAGGGGCAGTGGTGGAAGGGAAGAGGCGCCAAGCCTGGTGGGCTATGGCCCACTCCAAGGGTCCTCGCGGTCCCTGGGGCCACTCCCTAGGAAGGCTGCAGCGTTCTTGTCCCACATCATCAGCCCCGGCCACGTCCTCACCTTGAACTTTGCCCTCCCTGCAACAGCGGCCGCCACGCTTGCCTTCAGTATATTTGGCTTTGATGCGCTTGAAAGTTTCCACCAGCCCAGACTCCCCTCTCTGAGGCCAGATGTAGTCAGCAGGAGCCGTGACCTCGCGACAGCCGGTGGTTTCTCTGGGCCAGTATTTCCTGTTCTGTACCCGTTAGATGTGCGACGACAAGTCACCCACGTTCCCCGCCCCTCTCTGAGTCTCTCCTCTCTCTGCAGGCCTGCAGGAGTGCCAACATGGGGCTTAAGCTGTCCTGCCTGAAAGGTAAGACGTGGGGGCCCTCCCTGCAAGCTCTTATGGGAGGTCTGGGGGTGGGAGAAGGTGGGAGGGTAAACCCCAAGACCCCGGTGTGGGGGGACTGCTCCTTCCTCTACAAGGAACAGGCACCACCAGGTAGGAGTCTATGAAGGCAGTGCCTGCACACACTGGGCGCTTTATAAATGCTTGCTGACTCTGCCCTCTTCTCCTTGCCTTTCCTTTCATTGGCAGTGAGAGGTGTGGGAAAGTTCCAGGGTCATTGGGCCTCAGTTTCCCCCTCAGAGGGACTAGTGCAGGCTGTTGAGAGTCAGGGATAAGGAGGCCCCGGGCGAAGGTGCCAGGCATACGCAGGGGTGCTTGCTGTCTGCAGACACGCCCTGTGTGCTGTTATCTCAAGGACAGGACCAGGCCACCTGGTGGTGGGGAAGGTGGGCCGGGAGGGAGGAAAGGCCAGCAGAGAGAAAGTTCTGGAAAGACACGGCATCACGAGGGTCGTTGTAGGCATTAGCAGAGGCGGCCAGACCTCCGTCCTGTGCTCTAGAACTTTCTGTCCAGCATCGGGATAACCCTTGGGCACCTCACACCAACATCGCTCAAGCCAACACCTCTTGCCACAAAGCCCATTCCTGTTCCTCCTCTTGTTCCCACGCCATGATAGAAATCTGAGAGTTACCCTGGATGCCCCTCGCCCCAGGTGCAGCATGCCCACCAGCCCTGCATCGTATCTCCTGGAGGCCTCAGGGGCCCAATGGCGGCTGCATCACGCCTGCCACAGGCCCACGCAGGCAGGAGGACGTACTGGCTCCCACCACACTGTTCTGGCACATTCTCCATGCAGCAGAGGGCCTTCGAGGGCGTGACTTTGCCGTTCCCCTGCCTGAGACCCTCAGTACCCCAAATCGCCTGGTCTGACCACCCCTAATTCTTCCTTAGCCTCCTTCCCATCGACCCGCCCTCCAGGTACTCAGCTATCTACTGCTGCCACTGCCCTTCCACCCTCCCCACCATCATACTTGCCATCCATCTGCCTAGAATTCCAGGCACTGGGAGGAAGCACTCAGAACCCCTTTATCTGCACTTATCCAAGACAGACACAGGCCACCAGCCCCAATGCCCAGAGCCCCTACTCTGTGAAGGACATAACACATAAAGGAGATTACCAAGCAGAGTGTTCCCCCAGGCCCTCGGTCCTATCCATCCTTCTAACAGCTCCACCTGCCTGCTCTTCCTTTGCTGCCCCAGGGATGTTCTTACCTGGTTGTCAGCATTGGGGGAGTGCACTTTTGTGTGCTGTGCTTTATTTTTGTCTAATGCTTGGGGGTGAGTGTTGTGTTTCTCGAGGCCAAAAGGTTGTCACAATTCTTTGATGACAGCATGGTATTCTGCCAAAAGTCGGTCTTTGGGTTGTTTCAAACCTGTTGCTTTTGTGGATAGTGCTATTTTGAGCTTCTTTGCTTTATAATTTTTTGGATGTTATTTTTTTGGGATAAATTCCCAGAAGTTAGAATTACTGGATAAATGTTGTTGTTGGGTGCCGTTGAATTGATTCCGACTCATAGTGACCCCATGTAACAGAGTAGAACTGCCCTATAGAGTTTTCCAGGCTGTAATCTTTACAGAAACAAATTACCAGGTCTTTTCTTCTGCAGAATGGCTGGTGGGTTCAAACCACTGACCTTTCAGTTAGCAGCCTAACGCTTAACTGTTTTGCCAGCAGGGGTCCTTCACTGGATAAACGGCTAATTCTTATTGGGGGCTTAGTCTGGGCAGGGTCTTGTCCTGTGCATTCTGCGTGGATTAACTCATTCTGTCTCTGCAACAGCCCCTTGAGGTGGCTGCTATTAGGGCTCCCGATTTCCAGATGTGGAAACTGAGGCACAAGGAGCAGTGCAGTTTGCCTGGAGCTGGGACCCAGGTGGGCTTTGAACCCTGACAGGCTGCTGCCAGAGTCCTTGCTTCAACCACCACCTCATACAGCCTCTTCACAGGAAAACATTTTAACTCGACATTTGAAGTAGCTGCGTCTTATAGATTGAATGATGTCCCCCCAAAGTATGTTGAAGTCCTAACACCTACTACCTGTAAACGTGACCTTGTTTGGAAATAGGGTCTTTGAAATATCTTATCGGTTAAGTTAACCTGAGGTCATATGGAGTAGGGTGGGTGCTAATTTCCATCTGAGTGGTGTCCTTATAAAAGAGAAGAGGCACAGAGATACATGCCATGTGGAGATGGATCTATAAGCCAAGAACACCCAGACCTACCAGAAGCTGAAAGAGACAAAAAAGGATCCTCCCCTAGAGCCTTCAGAGAGAGCATGGCCCTGCTTGATACCCTGAATTTGGACTTCCAGCCTCCAAAACTGTGAGACAATAAATTTCTGTTCTTATAACCTGTCTTAGGCTGGGTTCTCTAGAGAAGCAAAAGCAGTAAAGCGTGTAAATATATATGTACAGAGAGATTTATATCAAGGAAATGGCTCACGCAGTTGTAGAGACTGGAATGTTCCAAGTCCGTGGGTCAGGCTGGAGGCTTCTCCTGATTCACATAGCCACAGGGGCTGGTGAACCCAAGATTGGCAGGTCAGAGACAGAGCAGGGCTGTTGCTCACAGGCTGCAAAAAAGATCAACGAATCCCAAGAGCGGCAGGCAAGACCGCAGGTAAGCTGCTAGCTCAAGTCCCAAGAACTGGAGGTCAGACAAACAGGAGCCAGCTGCAGGATCCAAAAGCCACGAGCCTTGCCAGAATGTCCACTTGCATTCTATGCAGGCCACTTGCCCAGGGAAACTCCCTTTCAACTGATTGGCTGCTCCCAGAGAATCCCATCATGGGGTGATCACAACATCATATAACTGCCAAACCACTGAGAATCATGGCCCAGCCAAGTTGACACACAGCCTTACCCATCACATAACCCATCCAGTTTTCACACACAAGAAAGCTCAAAGAAGAGAGGACCCCCCACCCCTACGTGGAACATAGCCATTTACTAGCAGTCCTGGGAATGGGGCATTCCTGCTCCTACACCAATACAAGGCCAAACCAGTAGGTCTAGAAGATTCCATCTCATCTTTCTGCACTGACCAGTATCTCTGGGAAATGTAAAGTTTGCAGTAGAATTCAAATCCTCTGGTTTACATGTCCAGTGAATGGGTTTATCAGGACTTCTCATCAAATGAAAGAATGCAAGAAAAACAGTAACAGTATTTGAACCCCTAAAGAGGCCACTCCTTCTAAGTCCACCAGGATGCCAGAGGTGCCACAGCTTGGAAAGCTTAGGTGCCCCGTAACCCTTCACCTGGCCATCAGATTAAATGCAGACCTGCTGGCGTTGTTTTTTGACAAATTTTTGCCATCACTGTGTGTCTTTGCGTGTCAGCACGAACCCAGCCTAGCAATTGTAGGAGTGTTTCGTGAGTCACATCAAATGTATTTCCTTATGTGAGTCAGCTGAAGATTTGCCAAATCCTGAAGAAGTCAGTGAACCTTTTCAGTGTTCAGTTTTCCCATTTACACACACATGTTTTAGAGATGTTTGTGAGATTCTCTGCCATCATTGGTTGAAGGGTGATCGTTAACAATAATTACAGCTCGTGGGGTGGGGCCTAGGAAACCTGTTAGCAAGCTCTCCAGGGGACTGTGGAGGACAAATCAGGGGTCCAAGCCTCAGTTTCTCCATCTGTAGAATGGATCCCCAAATGGTTATATCTTCCGCATCAAGGTTTGAGAATTAGCTGAGATAAGGGTTTCCTGCCCACCTTTACCCTTTTCACCACCAAGCCATGGAGGCAGCTCCAGGTGGGTGGGGACCTCAGCTGGGAGGAATTAACTAGAGGTGTGGGCTTTCCCAGCAGGGCAGCTGGCTGTGATCTTGGGGCTGCCTCGGGGGCCCAGCCTGGTCTCTGGGGTTCTGCGGAGGGTGCCAGCTCCAGCCCCAGACAACTCCCACATCACCATGGAGACCAGCTCCTGGGACAGGCTGGTCCCTTCAGGTTGCCTGTACAGGCAGGCCCTGAGTTAGGAGCAAGCTTGGGGAGCTGATGAGCAGTGAGGAGGTGAGAGTAGCAGGGACTGGGGGCAAGGGGCCGAGTGGGGGAGCTGATGTCACTGGGGTAGGCAGGGCCGTGGAAGCTGAGGTATGGCACCAGGAATTTCTTCTAAAGTAACAGGAAGCCACTAGAATCATTTAGCTCAAACCCAAACCAAGCCCACTGCCATGGAGTCGCTTCCCACTTATAGTGACCCTGTAGGACAGAGTAGAACTGCCCCATAGAGTTTCCAAGGCTGTAATCTTTATGGAAGCAGACTGCCACATCTTTCTCCTGAGGAGTGGCTAGTGGGTTTGAACCTCTGTCCTTTCGTGTCCTAAGTTAGCAGCTGAGCACTTAACCACTGCACCACCAGGACTCCTCGGAAGCATTTAGACTAGAGTCTAAATCTCTGCTGCACATCAGAATCACTGGGAAGCTTTTCAAAAGCTGCAGCCCTGGCCCAGCCCTCAGAGACTGGGATTGGATTGGTGTGGGTGGACGCCCAGGAATCTGCTTTTAATCAAGCCTCGCAGGTGACTAACCTATGCAGCCTGGGGTAAGAGCCACTGCCTGGGTCTAATGTCCTTGCTTTCAGGTAGGGGAGGGGGTCATGAGCACGTTATCGTGGCTGGGAACCTGGGTATGCTGGCTCCAATCCAGGGTTCTTTCTGAAACCTTCCTGTCCAATCTCTGCCCAGGAGACTGGGAGGAGGAGGGCTGAGAGACCCCCAGGCAGCTCAGAGGAGCAGGGACTGCTAGTCAGAGCCCGTTTTAAACGCTGGCGCAGATGGGGCTTCATTTGGCCCCACCCTGTCCCTAGGCGCCAAGCAGGCAGCCCTCCTGGCTTATGGGGGATTTAGTAAAGCTAAACCTCGGCACCTGCTGCCCTTGAGAAGAAGGGGCCAGCTAGTGGTGCAGCAGGTGGGAGATGGACGCAGCCCTCACCAGCCTTGGGTGGTCAGCCCCTCTGGTTT